TCCTGCATCTTGGCATGGCTGCCCTTTGTGAACAGTCTGGAAGAGCTTTTTTGGCATGCTTGTGGTTCTTATCTTTGCTGTAAACACAAGCTGTGAAAGCCGTATGGGATGGCAGGCTAAAAATAACTTCTACCCTTGGTAATCTCTTAAGGAAAGATAAGTCTTCTGCCTGGGTGCTGTGGATGGATTCTCTGTGGTTCCCTACAGTCAGGATCGCAAAGGGCAGTGAGCCGTGCTGTCTGCTTTGGGGACAGAGTTGCTGTTAGTCTGTCAGTTGCTGTCTCGGAGAGAGCAGCTAGCGCGGCGTTGGCTGGGAGAAGGGTGATATCCGTCCCTTGAACTCGCAGATCCAGCGGATGCTGACTAGTACTGTAGACTTACTCTGTTGTTCCTTTGATTCCAGCATGTTGGAAAAGGGAGACATGCATATCCTGAGGGACATTGCGTAAGAGGAGTGATGTCACGAGTTTGACACTGCTAGGATAACTTTGTGTTCACTGTCAGAGGAGTTGCTCACGTGGCCCTCTCTTTCCTTACAGCAGCAAGGGCGCAATGATGGATAACCGTTTTGCTACAGCGCTAGTAATTGCTTGCGTCCTCAGCCTCATCTCCACCATCTACATGGCGGCTTCCATTGGCACCGACTTTTGGTACGAATACCACACCCTGTCCCCGGCTGAGAATGTTAGTGAGGCTGGAAGGAGCATCTGGGAGGAATTTGTCAGCGAAGAGGCGGATGAGAAGACCTGCACAGATGCGCTCTTCCGGTGCAACGGCACGGTTGGATTGTGGCGGAGGTGTATCACTGTACCCAAAAACTCTCACTGGTACAGCCCACCAGGTATCTCCAGAGCAATTAACAGTTCCGTAGCTTGCCTGGGGTGGTATGTGCTAACTTCCTCACAACATATTCATGCCACTTTGCTCCTCTAGAAAGCTTCTTTCTAGCTTACGTGTTTGGTTGTGTTGTTTTGTTTTAATAAAGACAGTCTAAATTTTTAAAGAAGCAAAAGGCAAAATGGTCTGTGTCTGTCAGTGCTACAGACTCTGGATTTGACATCTAAATTTAGTCTGGTATAACTTGGTTTTCTTTTGCATCTGCTGGCCAGCTGGGGAGACAGTTATAGTTGCTCTGCCAGTCACTGTCATTTTAGGAGAGGTCCTGGGATCCAGCAATGGAATAAAGATGCTGCTTTATCAAGAGGGCACATGCTTCTTTTAGTTAGTCATTCATTTTGCTCGCATGTCACAAATGTCCCACTGTTGCGTCAGCACATTTTGGACTCCTTGTACCATAGTGCTGGATATAGAATGAAATATTTTTCTTTTCAACTGTGGTTGGGGGCTAAAAACGTGTGGTGAGCAATTATTTTAATTGCTTCAAAGTAGATTTTTGGACACATATTGTGTGTGTGAAGACCTTAATTTTGAACCCTCTTAAAAAAAATGTACTTTCAAACACGTTTTCTGGAGAAAAAACATTACATTAGATACCTTCTCCCCCTGCCCCACCCCCCCATGAAAATACTTATTTTGGAAAACATGTAAACCAGCTCTGCTCAATAATATTCTAAAAGCAAAATCTAACCAAGGCATAAAAGGGGAGAAATTTAGTATAAAGAAGCAAATATTTTTTAGTTCTTCAGATAGTCCTTTCTATCCCAATTTTGAATGAAGTGTTTAGTATGATACTACATTCTGCACATTGAGATAAACACAGCTCAGTTAAGCAACTCTGAGTACAAGAATATGTAACAACATAGTTGAGCATCATATGCCACATTTCTTTCCCGATCTGTCAAGTGTGGCCCAGTTCTCTGTGGATAACCCAGGTAAGCCTGACGATTCTGCATGTTTGAAGGCCGTCCCTCATTGTAGTAACTATGTTATGCTAACTACATTATGATAAGGCAGCCTAAAGGTCTGTTTTGAGAGGTAGTTTTTTCTCTAAAATGTTTTTTCTCTAAAATGTTTTTTCTCTAAAATGTTTTTTCTCTAAAATGTTTTTTCTCTAAAATGTTTTTTCTCTAAAATGTTTTTTCTCTAAAATGTTTTTTCTCTAAAATGTTTTTTCTCTAAAATGTTTTTTCTCTAAAATGTTTTTTCTCTAAAATGTTTTTTCTCTAAAATGTTTTTTCTCTAAAATGTTTTTTCTCTAAAATGTTTTTTCTCTAAAATGTTTTTTCTCTAAAATGTTTTTTCTCTAAAATGTTTTTTCTCTAAAATGTTTTTTCTCTAAAATGTTTTTTCTCTGAGGAGCTTCCCAGCTTAAATGGTTGGGAAAGGAGGAATTGAGGTGGGGGGATGGAAGGGAGAGACCTAATGGTAATTTTGCCTTTTTTCCCCGCAGAAACCGATATGACTACCAACTGCATCAGTTTTTCCCTCTCTGATCAGTTTATGGAAAAGTACATAGAGCCTGGAAATCACAATAGTGGCACAGATTTGAATCGAACTTGTAAGTGTCTTCCACTTCTGGTGGGTAAAAAAGACGTTTCTCAAATACAGTCACTAGTGAGGGAAGCATCTGTATCTTGCTCTGCCTTTTTTCTTTTTTTTTTTTTCCCTCCCCCTTCACAGTAGCACAGGCAGCAGGTCAAAGTTTAAAAGGAAAACTTAAGTGCTTTAGCAAAGGTTTTTTCCATGAATGCAATACAGGAATTTGGGAATTAACGAGTGAAGTTCTTCCTACTTTAGCGGGGCCTTTGGTTCTTTTTAGCTGTGAATGTAGAGTGTCTGATGAAGCAGAAGCAGTGGGGTAGAAGGGAATATAAGATGGTGGGAGACCAGTTTCTAGCCCATTTTCAACAAACTTGTTTTGTGTGTTTTTCACGTGCAGATCTCTGGCGATTGCAGTTTCTCCTGCCTTTTGTCAGCCTTGGCCTCATGTGCTTCGGGGCTCTGATCGGGCTCTGTGCTTGTGCCTGTCGCAGCCTTTACCCTGCCATTGCCACCGGCGTCCTCCATTTCCTAGCAGGTAGGTCTCCTGCCATCCACCGCTTACCCTCCCTTCTCCAGGAGCTCATAGTGACAGCCAGAGTGCTTCAACGGTGAGCTCATGGCGCTTTACCGCTTCCTTCCCCAGGGCTTTGTACGCTGGGGCTGGTTGGCTGCTACGTAGCTGGGATTGAGCTGCTCCACAAGAAGCTGCCCCTGCCTGAGGACGTGAGGGGTGAATTTGGCTGGTCCTTCTGCCTAGCCTGTGTCTCCGCACCTTTGCAGTTTATGGCAGCTGCTCTTTTCATCTGGGCGGCTCGCACCAACAGAAAGGAATTCACTCTCTTGAAAGCGTACCGTGTAGCATAAGTGCTGCTACCAAAGTATTGCGTTTCCATGTTATAGCCTCTTCTTCCCCCAACCCTTACTACTTTTTTCTTTTAGTCAGAATTTTACCTTGTACTGCATGCTTCTTGCCAGTTGAGACAATTTAGCCTGCAGGCCCTCAAGACAAAGACCTCTGGGCTAAATGACCGAACTCTGCCAGAAGTCTGCAGAACTTGAACAGGTTTTTAAATTGGGTTTTTTAATAACATTTTTTTTTTTAAGCTTCATTTGGTTGTTGAATATCCCCTTAGTTAGGTGTACATGCCCCTTCCTAATTTTACTACCCTGTCAGCCTGGAGGAAATAGGAATGGTGTGGTGGGGTGGAAGAGATAGGAAAGGAAAAGATGCAGGTAGGCAAGAATGGGAACCTGAGTGCACAAATAATAAATCATCAGGAGCTGTCTGCTGTGTGACCCAAGCAGGCTGTACCTACCGAGAGCACCCAAGAGACATGGGGGAACTCGGAAACCTCTGTTATGGAAATACTGTAGCTAAATCAGTCCTGTAGCTTCGCTTTGGGTCTCTTATTCTCACTAGTTTGCTACTTCTTGCAGCTTCTGCCAAAACCGATGCAGGCAGAGCAGCTGGCTGTGGGTGCGCCTGCACAGCACACCATCCCGAAATAGACTGCGCTCGCGTTTGCCAGGGAGCGGGATAAGTTGGCCTACGCGGAGCTTTCTGCTGCTCTAGCTACACTGCTTCCAGGACCCAGGCTGGTTTGGTATCCGCATGACGTGTGGCTGTGCACTCTGATCTGAACATGTGGTGCTTTCGCTTGCTGCGAAATAAGGCTTTCCTCTCTCTGGTGTTAAAAGCAACCCTTGACAAGTTTTTTAATTTGGTTTAGTGTATGTGTGTATATGTACATATATAAACTTAACTTTTTTTAAAACTCACCGATTTATCCTATATAGCACACAACAGGGTTTTTTAAAAGGTGCTGCTCTTTTCCCATCTTGCCCCAAACCTATTGTTTAAATGAAATAATAATAATAATAAAAAAAGCTCAGAAATTTTCAGCGTTGCATGAATCTGATGGGAGGGCGAGGGAATGGTCTGAAGTGATTTACTTTGGGAAAGAAAAGCCAATGTCTAGATTGCTCTCTGTTTTCAGGGAAATGTCACCAGAAACAAAGATGTTTGGTTAGATTTTTTTTTTTTTAAATTAAATTCTTGGGCTCCTGCTAAATTTAAATTTTCTCCTGCTCATCACTGGGGGGTGCAACACACCATGATTTCTAATTAGTTCACAGCTTCTGCACATATTTCTTCACTGCATCTCTAGCCAGACTGGATGGCATGTCTCATCTAGAAAACAATGTTCCAAGACTGAATTGTTTAATTCTGAGGCCTTAACTCCCCTTGTTTCCTTACTCTATGCTTAATAGAAGAAATATGTTTTAGAAGAAGTAAATCCTGACAAAATGAATAAGTCTGTGATGGCAAGGATTCGGTGAGATACAGTTGATGAGAATGAAGTCACTAGTTCCCCGAAGATCAGGGACATCTGCTAGTATCATTTCTTTATTTTTTTTATAATGTGTGTGATAGGGGTCAACCTACTTCTCCTTCTGTTATCACCACTGGAGTCTTTACAAAATGAACCAAGGATGATGATGATGAAACCCAGGATCACTGAAAAAGCAGCGGCAGGCCGTTCAAGATAATCTTCATTCTCTTACTGTTGAGTAATTTTTCACCTTTCCTCCTAAACCAGCTTCTTTCCCACTCTGCAATGGCTGGGCCAGCTCTAACCCCGTGAGAGGTGCACGTGGCAGCGTGCAGCCAGCGTGGCAAAGGCCACCCGCCTCTCCTCTGCCACCGCTACCTTCCTGCCGCCCCACGGTGCCGCTGCCGTGGCGGCGTAAGCAAGGGGGTGAGCTCTCCTTTTCTGCTTACGAGAAGCCCATAAAGGGTCTGTCTCCTGAATCCGAGGTGGGCAAGCTGCGTTTGTCCTTCAAGCATGTCCCTATGAGAGTGTTTCTTCTTCACAGGCTTGGGCTTGTTTTCCTGCCCACGCTGTGAAACCACTAGGACAGCAGGACAGAGCAATGAAGCGTTTAGTCTAGGTTGCAGCTTATTTTTTTTTTCCTCAAAGTGACATTTTTGCCTGTCCTCTCACCCTGCTCCAAACAACTCTGAGAAGGGGCTGGTCAATGGAGCTGTGAAGAGGAGTTTTATTATTTTGGTCATAAAGACAGCTCCCACTGGTATTAGAGGAGAATAGTCAATCCAATTTCCTTACTTTAATAAAAAAGCAGTATAGAGCGGACACAAAATACTGCTTTGCTGTGTAAAGGGGACAGTTCGCCTCTTAGGAAAGGAATATCATGTGTGGTGGGTGCAAGTGACAGCACAGTCTTGGGTGACCCAAGAGGCCCTTCTAATCTGTTGTCATGCCAGAAACTGGGGGGGGGTCTAGTTTTCCTTCCGGATTGTGTGCTGGCCGGGTGGTCCTTTCCTCATGGAAGGTATGTTGCAGTCTTTTTGCTATGGCGATGATGAATGCCTCCTCTCCCCTCATCTGAAATGCTCTGAAGCGTGTTTTGAGAAAGGCGTTTGAGGTGGGTTTTGTTGTTTTTTTTTTTTTCTGTTCCTTGTCACTTATGGCTGGCAGCAAGTTCTGTACCAGCTCGCAGTCTCTCTTGCAGTGCTGCCTTAGGTCTGTGATTCAAGGCGATGACTTCTGCAAAGCTCTTTCCTGCTCACCAGCGTTGTGCAAACTCAGCTGGCACCTGCTAGTCAAAGAGAAATCCTGAAATGTCAGCAGCTTGTCATCGTTCCATCTTGGGCTGATTGTCCACCTCCGTCTGCGTGTATTTCCTGCTTGAGTAGATTGTGTATCTCAGCAGAGAGAGGATAACATCTTGAAGCTGCTTTTTTTCTTTTTCCCCATTTCCTCAGGAATAGCTAGAGTTTTGTGCTCTAGAGCTTCTTTATAACCTGGTTTCCAATAGGACAGCACCAACAGTTGGCGTGTTTACTGCTAACTCTTTGGGTGCTGTCGAATGTTATTCTTGCCCTATATTTTTAAACTACAGCTTTCAAAACTACAGGGTGTAAAGTGAAGCCTTTGTTCAAGTTACGGTTCCGATACGTGGCAGTTGAAGAATGGATACTGCGTAACTGGAAGATTGTGTAGGTATCTGGATATGGCAATAACAGCCATATGCAAAATTACACTTAACAAGCACCTCTCTGCCTACTGATAGACGCCAAACCTTTATACAAACCGATGACTGCTGAGAAAAAATCTGACAGCAATAATGTATTCCACTCCTCTCTCTCCTCTTCCCTTTTAGAATTATTACTTTTAAAAATAGCCATAGGGACAGTGTTTTATTTATTGATCGGGTCAGAGCAGTGAGTGTCGGGTGTCTCCGTGCTTCCTGCTTTCTCTGTACAGACAAGGGTGAAGGAGATGATAACTGATTTTTGCAGAGGATCCAAGCATCTCTCTAGCTTTGCGTTTTCCGAGGTGAAGATTGAAAATTTTCAAGAAAACTAGAACCTTGTGTTTAATCAAAATTAATTATTGCTTAATCAAAGCTGTCCTTAAAAAAAAGGAAAAAAAAAAAAAAAGGAAAAAAGGTTAGTGTTAAAGGTTAGTGTGTTTTTTTTAATGGCCACCTTTTCTTTTTCCAGCTTTCTCGAGTCTTTCATCTGCACCTTTCAAAGTGTTTCTTACATTAAATGGTTTTAGAATATTATCTTCTTTAGTTTGATGTTTGCAAAGAAGATGATTTCCTGGTGTATTTTGTGTCACTATCTGAGGAAAGGAAACCCTTACATAGGTAACTTTTGAATGGACCTACCCGTTACATCTGTAATTTGGGCGAGTTCTCAATATCAGACATGGATATTTTTTAAAAATTTGGAGTTACCGATTAAAAATAAGATTGATCCAACCATGCTTAATAGCCTTTCAAAAAGTAGTTAATGAGGGACTGTTTCCAGAGCACTTGGTTAGCAAGGACTCCTTATATCCCACGTTAGGACCTACCGTGTGTCTGGGCCTTTACAAGCAGTCCTTCTTCCATTCAGCTTCCACAGCTGAATGCACGTCAGTATATTTTTGCCTCACATCATTAACTTGACTGAGCCGTGGTTGAGGACTGTTCCCTGTCGTAACCTCACCTTTTATCGTCCTCATGATGAAAGGGTTACACCACAACGCCTCGGTTGTTAGCAAGATGGGAACACCTCGTGAAGAAGCAGCACGTGGTCTCTGTGTGGAAGAACCATCTTCTGTTGGCTCTCTGCCTGGAGGAGCCAAGGCAGACCCTTCCCGGCGGAGGGAGCGTAGCTCTTTGCCAGCACCCCATCATCTTTCCATACCCATAAGCTCAGCGGTGGAGACTCGGGTTAGCTCCAAGTGTCAGTACTCAAGTGAGTCGTGGGGTTTTTCTTCCTCTGAGGCCAAGTACAGCTTGTACCTTCAGCTAATTCGATTCTTTGGGAGATTGCTCTGCAGGGTGTGGTAGCTGACACTGTTGGCTAAGTGACCATGGCAATACCTTTTTACGTTAAATGGTTCCTACATAAATTCGCTGAGAACTTTCCCTCGTTATCAGAAGATTTGCCTGTAACAAACACATGTAAAGAGCATCAAGCTGACCATCCTGTATGTTTACACTGATGTTGATTTAATCATTGCTTGAATCCACCAGTTAATTACCAAACCCATGTACGTTTTGGAGCGCTGGCTGGCTGGGAGCTGGAGTGGCCGTGCAGAGCAGGGGCTGATTTTCTGTGCTGCCGAAGCTGTGCCAGAGCCTTCTGGCCTATGGGCGATAGCAGACGCTGGAGAACCGGTTCCACAGCCTCTCCAGATCCTTCCTGGGTCTCATCCCTGTGCTGTACCATGCTCCCTTACCACTGCCCATTCCCTAATTTGAACAAACAACTATTGTGGGTGATTTTGCAGTCCCTGTGACATGAGTAATTTCTCCAACCCTCATTAAATTTTTTTCGTTGAGAAAGGGGTGGGGTTCATCTTCACCAGAAATAAGTTCTACTTTCTGAGGGCTTTCAGGGGCTGCTGCAGTAGTTTTTTGCAAACAAATCCCTTTTGTCTTGCACTGAAGTGACCCTAGCTAGCTTTGATTTGCATTTTGTTGTTTGCTTCCACACAAAACAACAGCAGCAGTGTTATAAAACCACAGCATCTGCCCAGTGTTAGAACCGCTTGGGTTCTCTAAAAGTCTTTGAGTTCTGGAAAGTGAGTAACCCTCCACAGATGATGAGGACATCCCGGATGGCGTCAGCAGTGGGACGCTGCTGGAGGAGCCCACGGAGCACTGAACCGGGAGGCGAGGCAGGAGGGGCTGGGGAGCGGGGCACGGGCTGCGGCGGGAAACGAGTGGACCCCAGGAGCGGGCTGCG